TAACAAGCGTGGATAACATGTTCTAGTGTGTGGCAGTATACACTTCATCATCCTCTTCTTTAGGACATACCGCAAAGCATACATAGTCAAACGGTAGAGTCACCTGGTCACTGCGACTTAATGGCGTGCTTGTAACTATTTCGTCGAACTTGATTTCTTCGTTGGCGAGCACAACATCAAGTATCGACGACCTGTTATCAGTTCTTATTCTGGGAGGAGGTTACGTGATTGAACAGAAGGTAGCTGGGAATTAGCTCTTGGAAGCTGGCTTCAAACTATGCACCGTCGGTTATTGGTGTTTCCATGTCGTGTACATAAAAGTCTCCAGCGATAAGAATGTGGCCGTAAGACTTGTTCAAAGCAAGTTGAAAAACGTGGTTTAGTTTCGAGTCCATTTCCAACGTAGAGATTGGCGTGCGGTAAATTACGGCTACAAGACATGTGTCCTTGTCACGCAACCATAGCCGACACCAAAGCGAAGCAGGGGCGCGGGTTTCTAAGTGATCAATAAGTTCACATCGGAGGTTCACATTGTAATAAAGAATTACAACGTCGAAACAGCGATATGCTGGGTAAATTGATCTCAGAATCGGTCACCTCAAGGTTTAACCAGCTCTCCGTGATCATCATGTGGTCCCACGATTATGGGGCGTGGCGCTCTATAAGTTCGACCAACTTACTAAGAAGGCGTTGGACGTTAGCGAACAAACAGCATAGTGTTTAGGATGTTAGGAACGCGTTGTTAGTTGTGAACTTAGTGTTTGGTTTTAAGCTGACCGTTAGGTGGTCAGCCTTTAGGCGCTTTTCCGGCTGGTCATTCGTTCTTGAGTTTCAGTCAGGTCGCATGTCAGCAAATAGCGCTCCAAATCACGAGGTTGCCTGGTGCTTCGCTCGCTCCTGTCATATTCTGAGAATGTTACTCTGTCTATCTATCTGCGGGACGGAGAACAACGGTTGCGCAAAGGTCGCAACCTCCATCGAATTTCTGACCACTCGTGGTCGTGCGCCTTCTGCCTTAAGTCGGATCTCGGTTGGCAACCTGGCGAGTTACTTCGACCAAGGATCCAACAAGATGTCATTCCTTCGGAGTGTAGCACAACTATCGTCAATCTTAGACCGTAGCCCTTGTAGTTAGGTAGCGATGGAGTCCTCCTTAACGATTTAGCGATAAATAAATAGAAAGATTATTCTCGAATTTATCGAGACACATCGTCTAGCGAGAGTGCTCCGCGGTCATGTGTTTGTGCCTCGTGATCAGGCGAATCCGGTGGCTCCGGAACCCCATGAACGAGTGTGGTCTTTTTGCTGTCATTAATGGCTGTCCTTTGCCTTTCAGCGCCCTTTCTATTGGGGTTTGGGTAGTATGAGCCTCCTAATCGGTGAAGTACAAAGACGAACTGCTGAGAGCAGGACAGCCTCTGTTTCATCTGTTGAGGTCAGTGTTAGTCGAAGCATTCGAGGTTCACCACAATCCACTGAGGTCTGGTGATGCCCTAGGCGTTTTAGCAAAGTGGGCCTAACCCGAATTCCAATCTCATCGCAGATGGAATTCCATTAGTTGCCATCGTCTAGCATCTTGCCCTCTATTGTGTCAGATTTGGACCCAAGCACGTTCTTGCACACAAGAATTAACGCACTGGTTCTGTCTAGCAAATGTCAGTTTGAGTATTGTGGCTGGCGATGTTGTTTGTTTAGCATGTACTGGAGACGGTCGCGAATGCTTTGTCACATTATTCGCGCTCGGTACAGGAGATGGGCGTACAGGTGTTGCTTTCAGCGTTCTTATCGAAGCAGACGATGCATATATATCCCGGTTCTGAGTTGCCTGTGTCTGTATCGAGTCGTTAGGAGTAGCTTCCATGAATGCTTGACAGAATTCACGCCTAATGTGGTCTGCCAGCCTAGTAGGTTAGGAGATATCCGAGTGGGTGACGCAGATGCCCTGAGGCAGTTAGTAATACTGACATTTTTCTTTGACGTAGTGGCAGAGCTTAGATGAGGTTGCTTGGGAACAAGAGCGCTCTTGTTAGCTTCCAGTAGCAAATCCCTGCAACTCATCATCTGCTCACACTTTTCTAAAGCAAAACGATACAATTGACAATCGTAATGGATCTGCATACTTTGCTAAGCCAGTGCGCCTCATGCAGGTTGTCTTTCTCCTTGATTCAATCTAACTTAAGCCACTGCATTTAGGGTAGAAGGTAATGGAAAAATTAGAGCAGGTCAGTTCACACCTGACATTTCGGGCACATTTCGGTTCACTACGTTTACCGCTAGGTGGAATTATCTTCAGTTACGACCGCTGTCTCAACTGAACACTGTTCCTCTCCGCTCATACGATGTTCAGTATGAGTGATCTTTAGTTCTTTGTCACAGCCGCATGACTGTATTTGGTTCTTGTACATTGGTGTGTCACGGCAAGGACACGTACAGGCAGTTTGGTTGCCTTATCGATCAAACCGGATCCGTGGGTGGCTAAGCCTTTTAACTTGGCTTGTAGTGAGTGGGCGTCAGCGACTGTGTCGTCGATGCACGAATCTAATCGAAAGCACAAGTAGAGTCGTATCATACGTACTACTCGTCCTGTAGAAGTAATGCTAGGGTCACCATCTAGCGCGGAAAAGCCTTCACAGAACGCAGTTTTACAACGGTGAGAGATTTTGAAAAAACAAAGTCGAATGCATAGATGTGCTCACGGGACATGTTAAAACAGACTGGGTTACAAGAGACACGGTCCGTAGTGAAGAATGCCACAAAAGATGACCACTGAATACGGAAAGTTAATTTGCTTCGACTTGTTTATGGTGACTACGCTGGGTGAAATGGAGTGAAGATCTGTGGCAGATTAGATCACATTACCTATCCGACTACGAGGCGTATCGGACCACAGCAGGTGATTTTATCACATGAAAAACCATATTTTTAGATGAACATAAAATGGTAGGGTCACTCAGCTCAGATAATGCAGAGCAATGAAGAAGGTTGACAAGGAGGTACTGTATGGTTATATTGCCAGCGAACGATGCACAATATATATCTACGATGTATTCGTACTTCGTATCACATCCATTGTTCGACAGAAGCAAGCTTGCTGATTTGTTCTGCTGAATTCAGCAAACAGTGAGCCGAACACAGTGACAAATAAGTGACTTGAGTTTAATTTAGCGCAACTTTGTGATCTCCTGCAGTACTCCGGTGGTTCTGTGCCGTAATGATGCCACTGTTCCATGTGGCAACTATTCCTATTAAAATAGATGCCAAGTCGATTCACACGAAACAGAGTTGATATGTTTCTGGGTAGTGAGTGAACTAATCCTAACCTAACTAGGGGCCAATTTTGGAAGCTTTATTGTGTGAATGGCTAATTTAAGATGGACGGTGAGTCACATTGGAGTGAAATTTAGTCAGGTAGGTCGCTGGGACTGTATATGAAGCAAAGCAGACTGGATGAACGGTGGTTCTACAGTCGTATTCATCAGTGTCAGATATATTAAACTCACTATGCAGGATAGAGATATCTCCGTGGATTAGGCTCAAGCAGTAGGAAATATGGGAACTCGGTGGTTGTGGAGCAGCAAAACATGAGACGGTTTAAACTTGGAATCAAGCAAGTAGGAGAGTTACTCATAATCAACCATCTGGGGTAACATACAAGAAAGTAGGGGTACGATATTCTGAAACATTACGAGGAGATCCGTAGCAGCCAGCTACAGTTTGCCAGTCAGCAAATTTCCGGGAAATCGTTAAATAGGACTTACGCTCCATTGAGATCTATCAGCACAGCACAGTTCCTCGAATCCCATTGAGATTCGAACTCACGACCATCAACCCATAGATAACAGACGTGGATCGTAACTACAGATTGTAAGCTGCGATATGCGATGTCCCACCCTTCCCTGGCATATACATTACAAAGATGCTGAGGATAGTCTTGATGACCTGGGCTTCAGCTTCTTTTGGCACAAGCTAGGAAGACCACCAACTCCTAGAAACTAGTGACTGCACTTCTTGAAGCATTTTGAAAAGGCAAACCGCTACCAACTTTCATCCTCCTTCTTCTGCAGGCAGATGCAGTGCGCGGCTTTGGTTGACTGGCCTAGCTTCATCGCAGTCAGTCACCTAGCATGACGATCTACTGTTTTCATCCTTCGCTAAGTGACTTAAGCCACTGCCTCGTAGATGAAAGCCAGGGGATCGGGCCAGCGGGATTCAGAGCAGATGTGAACAGAATCCAAATGTTGCAGAGCGGCTATCCGGAGTTTATTAGAAATGTATGGTGAATAACTGAGGGATCCTTGAAACGAGGAAGTCGCCCAAAATTTTTTGGGCATTGCGCATCTAGGCCCCGGCAGAAAACCGATAGACGATACGGCTGGTCAGAACATTATGTGTGAGCACATCTACAGTCTATTTCTCGCAAGTAGACAAATTAAGGCGGTCACCACTTATTCGGAGAAGTACGGTCCTGTCGTCCCATCCTTGTTGAAATCGTCAGCAATGCCCACTCTGCCTACCAAGTGCGGGACCAGAACCCGCGACCCTACTTCTTACGGGTCAATGGTTGCGACTACTCAGTTGTGAGGGACCACAACAATCGGCATGACTTAGTTACTGGCCCCTTATTTAGTGGGTTCTCACTCCATTGACTTGCACGTTACTGCGATGCTAAGGACAGGGTAGTCCTATAGAGTAACAGCCTCCATTCTTCAGCATCGGGCATCTGATGACATTATAAGCAATCTATACATAGTGCTGGTTGAAAAATGTTTTTATGATGTTACCTGATTCCAGCAAACTACTCACTAACTATTCAGCAGGGCAATTCACCATCTTAGACAAAAGTCCCTTTCAGGGCGAACTGATATCAATCAGTATGTCACGACGCTATAACCGACGTCAGTTGTACCAGGCAGTTACATGGTAAGCATTTCATGCATATTCTAAACCTTGCTTGTTGCCACACATGGCCTCAGTCTATTGTCCGGTTTCTTTGACTCTAGCGTATGAGGGCGACCGTCCGTCCTGGTGAAGTTTTCGCGGAATTGGACTTCCGAAGAGCTGAAACTTCCCCTCCACTGGAGTTGTTTGACGAACCCATTTGCAAACTGCACAAGCTGCAAATAACACGTTGGAACGGAATCCGAATAAGCGGTTCAGGAGTAGTCATAAAAATGTTTCGCCTCCTCAATGGGGAAAATTTATTCAACGGGATCATCATGCGGCACGTTGAAAAAATTATAAGGGAGCAAGTTCATCGAAAATTACAGCAACTCAGACCATCCAATCTGGTCCGCCTGCTAGATGTCAAACAACCGTTTTTTAGCTAGCCTCTGTATTTTCCTACACTTTGTGCATTATGTTAAACTGCATTGTTAATTCTGGATTTCATTGGTTACTACTACTTCCCTACTAGCTCTCTAGAATCTTCCCGAGTAGTTACACTTAACTACCGACTGACAAACAAGTCGTTCAGCTGATTATATTAGATATCTACTGTACAGGAGATTGATAATGTTGAGTGACCAACCAGTCGAACATTAAATCTCCTTACGCCATTGTATTGAGCAATCAGGCAGACCAGCTCGGCATGTTACAAAGTGAATCGATGAAACGGCGTGTGCACTTGCTTCTCTGGAAGCCAGCTTCACCATATTAGGGCCAGTACGTAGCGTAATACTTTGGGTTAAGCTGTCTTGTATGGCGAGCATATGTTTGAGTTAATCGGTCTGGGCCACTGTTAGAAACTCACCTCTGATCGCGCAATGAGTAAGGGGAATGTGCACGACTTCTGAAAACTGGAAGTATTATCCTACCATTCATTAGGTTCCTAGGGGACAGTGAAAATGCGGTAGAACTTAAAGATGTGATTAATTCCGCGTGAAAGGGAACAAACAATTTCGCTGTGGCTTAACCCACTGTTAGGTGTTTCGGAATCACTAGCTAACGCATAGAAGAAAACTTCATTGGTGAGCATTTAGTGAACAGCTTTGCATTTTAGTCAATCCCGCTCCCATTCATTCAACAAAGACGTGTGAAAATTTATCAAATAAAAGTGGATATGTCATAGCTGGATTAAACTAAGCAGTCGTCAAACACTTGATCATCTCTTTCTATTGCAGGCTAGGGACCACGAAAACTATCGTGCATTCCTGTTTCCATTCAAAGACCAATGTGTCAGCCGCTATCTTCTGATGTTGTGTCGTTGGTGACAGAGATGTAAAACGTGGTCAAGTTGCCAAAGTTGAGTTGGCAACTTAAGGACATTACTAAAATCCAAGGATGCGTGTTTCGTTCCGAAAAGCTCAACTTACCGTATGGTGTCAAACGTGACTACTGGTTCTAAACAAGTAGTCAAGAAATTAGCAACCTGCCTGTGTACTTTGGCTATCCAACTCATCGACTAACTGCACAACGCATATTATCAAGCTGAACGAGAAAAAGTGGCAACTTTACAAATTCTATAGATTACTGTTCTTATGGTTCCCTCGTGATGTAATGTTTGTGGTTAGCGGCCCTCAGTTGAATCTCTACTGCCTGTTAATAAGATTCTTTCACATTGCATTATCCCGTTCATTAAGACAATTTCGTGGAAATTCCAAAATCATTCCGTTTCATCTCTGATTCCGAATTTTTCGACCATAAGTACTAGTGTTATAGGTGCTTAATTTCGGGGATCATACTATCCCTCATTTGCTTACCATTTTTGTCTAGATTACTCAAAGTGCCGAAAAGCCACTTTGCGAAGCGTGTATAGGACTAGTTAATACTAGTCCGAGACGATGCGCGTAATTAAGCGCGGATATCAGAAGGCAATTGGAGTCGGACACAGCGGACTGTATTCGATGGGCTACCACAAGAAGCGGACGGATGAAGCGAGGCAAGAGCGTACACGTGAGCGCGGGAACTTACAAGGCAGTTGTGTGTCGAGCCGGTTGTAAGATTAAAACAAGAAGGAGTAATGTACAATCGGTCAACAAGTAAATTGTACACGAAAGATAAGAGTTATCTTTTTGGGCGCTACAGAGCTCCCCCCTAGAAGGCTGAACATAGAAAGCCTTCGAAATCGAAAGGAATGTTGAAACCAGGTTCGTAAGGCGAAATCGTGCCGAGTAAAAATGGGCGTGCGTTCGTGTAAATGGGGGTTCGTCGGAAGTCGGAGTCCGCTGTGCCGTTTATGATTCGTTATTTATTGAATGCAGGGCAGGGTGCATTTCGGCGAGCCGTTGCAGCGGGCTTGTCGGACTACAAAAAACTGGCTAGCCCAGAAAAAGGCCGACAGGACCTCAACCTCCGCTGCTGCCAAACGGTGCGCTTGGGAGTGGTCTCTCCCCCCGCCGCACCCCGCCCCGCGCCAAAACGACCCTCGTCCCACGAAGAAAACGACCACGGTCCCACGGAGAAGCGACCCTCGTCTCGCGGAGAAGCGATCCTCGTCCCGCGGAGAAGCGATCCTCGTCCCGCGGAGAAGTGACCCTCGTCTCGCGGAGAAGCGATCCTCGTCCCGCGGAGAAGTGACCCTCGTCTCGCGGAGAAGCGATCCTCGTCCCGCGGAGAAGCGACCAGTGTTCGCGTCAGGGTCCTCGAAAACATTCCTCGTGTGGGCCAGTCGATCGAAGGGGAGGGTTGGAGCATGTAAAAACGAGAAAATAGAAAAACACGCGCAGAAAACGTTCAAAAGAACAAACGAATGATCTGCGTGTTTAAATATTTTTTGGTTTTTGAATATTTTTTTCGAAAAAGGTTTTTCGGAGGTTTTTTGATATTTTTGTTTGTTTTCAAAACGTTGATCGACCAAAAACGGGGCAAATATATACAATATCTACAAAGCTAAAAATATTTACACTGTACATAGTCGGAGAAACGGACGGGCTTACGTACCTCCCGACCACGGCGATTGGTCGTGGGAGGCGGCGGACTAGATTCGGGAGATGTTGGAACGGCTTGTAGACCGAGATCGTGGTCTGGATGAACTGGACCAGGATGCTGTAAGCTGGTGCGATGAGTTGTGACGTCGCACGAAGCACTACTAGACGAAGTAGGCGAGGTAGTTTCTTCCATAAAGGCGGGTTTCAGACGGTCCGATGGTGACGACTTCGTGTCGACCACCGCGGTCAATAGTGTACGCCTTACTCGCACGATGCAGCACCTTGAAGGGTCCTATGTACGGCGACTGAAGAGGCTGTCGAACACCGTCTGCGCGAAGAAGGACGTGTGAACAAGTAGACAGCTTCTCAGGCACGTACACTGGTATCTTCTGCGATCGAGGTGCGGGTGGACGTAACTCACGCATTTGGTGAGCCAATCGATCAGTGTAACTTCCGTAGTCAAAAGTGGAAGTACATGGGGCTGGTGCTACCAGCTGTCCGGGCAACCGCAGCGTGCAACCGTAGACTAGCTGCGCTGGTGTGGCGTCGAAGTCAGTCTTACCCGTGTTTCTTAAGCCTAGGAGAACGAGGGGAAGCGTTTCAGACCATGAAGGAGCTGCGTGCGCACGTAGCGCTGCCTTCAACTGGCGGTGAAAACGCTCCACCATGCCGTTAGAGGCAGGATGATACGCTGTCGTCTGAACGTGGCGACAGCCTAAATCCTTAAGCAACATGGCAAACGTTGACGAAAAATGTGACCCTCGATCGGTGGTCACGATGGCGGGACAGCCGTATTGAGCTACCCAGCGCTCCATAAAAGCTTTCGCTACCGTTTCCGAGGAGCAATTTGGGATAGGGACGGCCTCAGGCCATCTAGTAAATCGATCGATGTAGGTCAGTAGATATACAGAGCCTTTGGAAGGCGGTAGAGGACCAACGAGGTCGACGTGCACGTGATGTAAACGTGTGTCTGGCGTTGGAAACGTGTATAATGGGCTTCTCGTGTGCTTGTGCACCTTCGCGCGTTGACACGGAAGGCAAGCAGCTGCCCAGGTACGGACGTCCCGATTAACATTGCGCCAAACGAATCGTGCGGTTACGAGTTTAACCGATGCACGAACGCCTGGATGAGACAAGCCGTGCAACGCGTCGAACACGGTGTGCCGAAACTCGCGTGGGACGACTGGGCGCGGCGTGCCCAGAGATAGATCGCAGAGTATAGTGCCGTCTGATGATGCCAGCGGAACGGGTCGTATGTCCAATGGAGGAGACCTGCGTAGTAGATCAGCCTCAGAATCGTTGAGTTGCGCTGTGGCCATGGCTGCCAAGTCGATAGCAGTGCCGGCCTCAGCGGAGATAGCTTGGATGCGAGAAAGTGCATCGGCGACGGCGTTGTGCACACCTGAGACATGTCGTATATCGGTCGTAAACTGAGCGATATAGTCAAGGTGGCGCGACTCTCTAGAGGAGTATCGGTCGGTAGTCGAGCCGAGCATGTAAGTCAGGGGTTTGTGGTAGGTGAAGACGGCAAAGGAGTGGCCTTCTAGGACGTGTCGCAAGTGACGTATCGCTAGATATACGGCCAGTAGTTCTCTACCGAACGTGCTGTAGCAAGATTCGGTAGGTTGTAGGCGTTTGGAGATAAACTCTAAGGGCTGGCTAGCCGAACAACCTCCTCGTGGTGCCAGCTGGGTGATTCGGGTTTACCCCCTTTCAGCAAATAGTTCGGCGGCAGTGTTCCAGGACGTGGTGGGTTTTCGCCTGGCAAGCGTTCTCCCTATAAAAAGCCACATATGTCCGTTTAACAACACTGTGACGTGGCGGTTGTGACTCGCCACTAACTAAAGTCACCCACTGCTTATCCGAACAATCTCTTCAAGTCAACAGATAGCAAGCACTGGCGACACCTTCAAACACATTCAAGCAAAATGACAGGAAACATTTACCAATCCCATAAACAAAGCTAAACACGCCTACATGCAAACTTACATACATTCATATATAAACATATGCAACAATCCCATTGTTCCATTGTACATTAACTGATCCCATTTTGTACTCTTAACATGATCATGCCTGCGCAGGCGTGCCTCACTTAGTCGAGAATACACAATTTATTTATTCATTTACGTGTCGGCAGCTCGTTGCTGCAGAACAGCGCCGACTGCCACGTCCGAGGCGTCAGTACTGAGGGATAGTGAGGCGGCCGGATCGCGATGCGCTATAGAAGTTATGTTGGCGATAGCCTATTTCAGCGACTTAAAAGCAGCGCGTGCTGAGGCAGGAAATTCGAATTTCTTGAGTTTCCCTAGGAGAAGGTCCGTGAGGGGTTGCATCAGCGAGGCGCAGTTGGGTATAAATCGACGATAAAATTTAACAAGGCCATCAAAACGCCTGAGCTGTTTGAAAGAATGGGGCTCAGGGTAGTCGATAATGGCTTGAATTTTATCCTGCAGTGGCACGACGCCTGCAGAAGAGATACGATGTCCCAGGAAATTGACTGCATCGACACCAAACGAACACTTTTCTGCGTTGATCGTCACCCCTTGTTGAGATAAACGATCAAAAAGTGTTCGTACGTGGCGTATGTGCTCTTCTCGTGAAGAGCTGGCGATTAAAATGTCGTCAAGATACGCGTAAGCGAAGTCTAAACCGCGACAAACTTGGTCGATGAAACGCTGAAAAGTTTGCGCGGCGTTCTTTAGGCCAAATGGCATGCGCAGAAACTCGAACAAACCAAATGGAGTCGTCACGGCAGTTTTAGCGATGTCCGCTTCGGCTACCGGAATTTGGTTGTATGCGCGTACCAAGTCGATTTTGCTGAAGATATTTTTACCCGCCAGAATGGCGGTGAGATCCACTATGTGTGGGATCGGATAGCGATCAGGCGTGGTTACCGTATTCAAGGATCGATAGTCGCCGCAAGGACGCCAGTCCCCCACAACCTTCTTCGGGACCATGTGCAGAGGCGACGCCCATGGGCTGTTGGACGGTCTGACGATACCAAGTTGAAGCATGTGGTCAAATTCGGCTCGTGCTGCCCGTAGTTTGTCAGGAGCAAGCCGTCTTGGTCGTGCGCTAACTGGTTGACCGCGCGTAACTATGTGGTGAGCGACCTCTGTCGTGACTGGTGGAAGCTCTGCAGCCGGTCGAACCAGTCGCGGGTATTCGGAGAGGAGGCTCAAGTAGTCGGACGGTGCGCCTGCGATCCGAAATACAGGGCTGATTATCGGGGCATCTGAAAGGACACCATCAACACCTAGTTTCGTACGGTCGTCTAAAAGTCTGTGGCGACCAGCATCAACAAGCAACCCAAAATGTCGGAGGAAGTCGATACCGATAATTGCGAAGGGTACAGACGCAACCATGAAGACCCACTGAAAATCTCGGCGAAGATTGAGGTCTAGGTTCATCATACGTTGACCGAATGAAGCTATGGGAGAACCGTTGGCCGCACGCAAATTGTACCTAGGCTCCGAGTGCTTGTCGCTAGCGGTCGCTGGAATGACGCTGACTTCCGCTCCCGTGTCGATGAGGAACGTGATGGAAGAACGTCGATCCTTAACGTAAAACAGTCGGTTTGCTTGGTTATTGAATGATACGTTTGTAATGCTAGTATGCGGGCTATTCGTTTTCCCTGGGTCGTGCCTAATGCAGGGAGCCCGACAACATGTAGCTCTTTCACCGTATTGGCGGTGATACCAACATACTTCTTCGACGGGCTTGACATTATCTGAATGAGAACTTGTAGTGAAAATGTTGCACTTTCGTGCCGAACAGGACGTACTCGGTGCAGGTACAGACGAGCCGCAATGAACGGTAGCCAAAACGTGGTCAGCATTTGACCGTGGCACACGCTGCTTTGAAGCCTTCATTGCTGCTATCCTGCTACGAAGTAGCGCAATTTCCTCGTCTTTAGAGTCAGATCGGTCTAGCGACTGGGAACAAACATGGGATTCGGCTTTCATCGGTGAGAATACGTCACCGGAGTTAATGGTCGTCTGCTGCGGAAAACGTTCGTACGCAGCGTCTGCCTTGGTAGCTAAGTCTTTCAAGGGTGCATCTATAAACATGGACAGCATTACCGGCAATGGCTCTGGGAGACGTGCAAACCACAGCTCCTTTATCCCTTCTTCGCTCAAGAATAAGGGACCAGCGATGCGCTGAAGTTCGCGGAGCAATGCCGACGGCTTGCGATCTCCAAGCTTGAGACCATTGAGCTGCTCAAATCGTGTTCGTGCGCTGGGTCGTAACTCTTTCAAAATCGCTTGCTTCATCGCTTCATACTTTGCCTCATTCGATGGGCAGAGTAGAATGTCCTCAATCAGCGTCACTACCGACGGAGGAAGGCGTGGGACGAGCTGATTGTACCTTGGACGGTCCGCCGTTATGCCCTTATTTTCTAGTTCGATCTCGAATATCTTAAACCAAAATTCAGGACTGTGTTCCATGAAAATTGGAACAGGCAAAGTAAGCATGGTTACGCTGTGAAACGACTCAGATACCACTCTCGAAATGTGAGTCGAAAGATAAAGAACGAACAAAATACGATAAAAGTACTAAAATTACGCAAGAAACAAATGAATATAGGTATATAATCGAGATAAAGGAACGAACTCACCAAAAAATACAAACGAGAAAAAATGTTGAATTCGCGCGCACGAATCGGGGCCACCAATTTCTAGGACTAGTTAATACTAGTCCGAGACGATGCGCGTAATTAAGCGCGGATATCAGAAGGCAATTGGAGTCGGACACAGCGGACTGTATTCGATGGGCTACAACAAGAAGCGGACGGATGAAGCGAGGCAAGAGCGTACACGTGAGCGCGGGAGCTTACAAGGCAGTTGTGTGTCGAGCCGGTTGTAAGATTAAAACAAGAAGGAGTAATGTACAATCGGTCAACAAGTAAATTGTACACGAAAGATAAGAGTTATCTTTTTGGGCGCTACACGTGTTCCAATATTGTTGTACATCGAGCAAATTCAGTCAGAAGTGTTGCGTGTCACGTTGACTTTCATATTTCACGCATGGGACTGTCGATTATGCATCTTTGACGCCTTCGTGAACTCTAACATGATTTCCTTCAAATTTTGTGTAAGAATTTCGGAAACTAGAAAAAGTCGACCAAAGTAGACTAGAACCACGAGCCGAATCCTTCTGTATCGAGCCGGTCCATGTGTTTAGCCCAACAAACCAGCCGCAAGAGCTTCCAGATTTTGGATAAGCCTTCCTGCCCGTCTCTTGCAGACTCACCGGTAAGAAATACCGCCGTAATGGACCGTCCAGCTTAATCTGTTCCGAATTTTTTCCTACTTTTTGTCCTAGGGGCACAAATGTCCCGGTCTTTGAAGGCATGGAAACTACAAGGAAAAAACAAGCAGAGGAGGTTAAAGAGTTTATCCTCTGTAAATCAACAGGTGACCAAATCACGGGAGGCTTGGGATAACCCTAGGCCTTCAATATCAACCTTGGCCGACCAGATACGTCATAACCTCGTTATCATTCACGCGCCTGAGTCCAGTGATCCAACTCCCTAGATGAACAACGATTACCTCTATTTTTACAGAGCGTAACTTATAAGCTCCATAATATGGTTGGTGATGGAGTGAAGGTGAAGCTAATTACCAGCTTTTAATAGAAGTTGATCAGCAACGTCAGCCGATGAGAATTACCAGGCGGACGAATCCAGTCACCTAGTGACTTGTCACGCCTAGAATGTTTGAAGGGTTTGAAGATCCATGATCATCGAGATCTAGATCCGTTAGACCGAGGATGACACAAATCTATCACATTTGAGTGCACAAAAACGTTATGCTGCTGGGAAACGGATCATTATCTCATAACTTTCCGGGTTGTTTCCAAGATTCCACGAAGCAGGATAAACAATTTGCGCACAATTCAGGCATGTCAGGCGTTATTTGCTGCGGCCTGCGTGTAATCTTTATCAACCTTTGCAGCCTTATGAAAAACCGTGATAAACTCTATTTTATCTAAGCGACAGACGTAGTGGGACACTCAGATGTGACAGTATTCTGACTGGATCGCCTAGGCAATCGCTATCATTGGCCATTCATGCTTCCGTTGTGATAGACCCTAGACTGCCTGCGGTGGTGTCTTGCTCTGCATCTGGCCATATTTGTGTGAGAGTCTTGTGAGCACCTATAGAAGTCACGACGACTCGTATGAGCAGCTGTGGCGCTCGATCCACCTGAGGCGTGGGAAGCTGCTCATGGGTGCCTTTTATCGCAGTTCCCTCAGCCGTTGTTTGGATTGGGTGCCGCATTTCCGAAGCCACATGGGTCGTCCCCATTTCCACTCATGGATGATTTCTATTGGCCTCGAGCACGCTGGTCTGAAGTTGAACTCGTGCTCAGATATTGTATGGTCGAAGCAAAGTTCGTGGGTTTTATACTTGAAAGAGGAGCAGTGCTTCATACCTGCCAGCCGAAACATATAACACTGCGCTCAAGTCTGTCGGGTTTAGACTTGATGTTAACGAGCTGTGAACATGTGTATGAAACTCAGACTCTGGAGCTCATGGAAACAAGCGGACACTCCTTACTCAGAGCCAGCGTGCTTCTAGCTTTACCTTATTTCCGTCCACTGGAGGCGGCTCACGACTAATAGAAAACTTACTTCTACAGTCTAACTCCAACCGCAATCTAAGTTGATTGATCTCTGCCGCAAGCTGTATATGTGGGAGACTGGTGGACGGGTACAGAAGACTGAGCGACATTGCTTTGTTCTCGGTTTTTACCACTGAGAGGTAGAAAGCTAGACCAATTCAGACACATTTGTTCGACAATCAGTTTGGCAAAATTGCTCGGTGGTGGCGCAGATGGTATGAAAAATTCCTACTCTCCGGATCTCCCAACTATTAAGAGGCAATGGAATGTTTGTAACGGCGCAAAAGCAAGCAAACGCCGGTAATTCGAAGAGGATTTTGCGCTGGCCACTAGTGGCAAGGCAAACGATGTGAATTCACGATGGCGAAGCTATCGGATTGGCTGCATGGACGTGATTAAAATTGCGTGGAGTTGTGTATTTTCTAGTCAGCGTAACCTGAAAATGTGTGTTTGAATGCGCCAATACGACGATTACCATTGGTAACCGTTGGTACTGCAGGACGTTTGCCTGTGTACTTGATACTTGAGCTGTCATCTGCATGGCAGGTGTCTGCATGGCAGTGGAGGATGCGTCGTGGCTTTATCGCATTTAGCTAACAATTCACGATAGTCAGATACCGTCCTCCATGGCGCAGTTGCATAAGCTGCGGGCTAGTTGGCAAGAGCACTAGCAGTCATGGGTTCGATCCTCCGCAGAGGACCGAAGGATGCGCACCACTGATGAGCCCCATAGAGCGAAACGTCCCGTCTGGGTGCTTTTCCGGATAAGCTGGTCGACATATCTGAATTGTCGGATGATTGCGACGAACAAAAATACTCACAAAATCCTTCCATTCATAAGTAATACCAATTCGCCCGTACGGATTCCACAAAATGCTATGTCGATTCATAGCTGCCGTAACCGGGAAGTCCTTGACGCCGGAAGGCCGACGCTGTCACTCTGCATGGCAGGTGCCTGCATGGCAGTGGAGGATGCGTCCGGGCTATATCGCATTTAGCTAACAATTCACGATAGTCGGATACCGTCCTCCATGGCGCAGTTGCATAAGCTGCGGGCTAGTTGGCAAGAGCCACTAGCAGGTCATGGTTTCGATCCTCCGCAGAGGACCGAAGGATGCGCACCACTGATGAGGCCCAAATAGGGCGAAACGGCCGTCTGGTGCTTTTCCGGATAGCTGGTCGACATATCTGAATTGTCGGATGATTGCGACGAACATAAAAATACTCACCAAAATCCTTCCATCATAAGTTAATACCAATTCGCCCGTACGGATTCCACAAAATGCTATGTCGATTCATAGCTGCCGTAACCGGGAAGTCCTGACGCCGGAAGGCCGACCGCTGTCATCTGCATGGCAGGTGTCTGCATGGCAGTGGAGGATGCGTCGGGCTATATCGCATTTAGCCTAACAATTCACGATAGTCAGATACCGTCCTCCATGGCGCAGTTGCATAAGCTGCGGGCTAGTTGGCAAGAGCCACTAGCAGTCATGGGTTCGATCCTCCGCAGAGGACCGAAGGATGCGCACCACTGATGAGCCCCAATAGGGCGAAACGGCCGTCTGGTGCTTTTCCGGATAGCTGGTCGACATATCTGAATTGTCGGATGATTGCGACGAACAAAAATACTCACCAAAATCCTTCCATTCATAAGTAATACCAATTCGCCCGTACGGATTCCACAAAATGCTATGTCGATTCATAGCTGCCGTAACCGGGAAGTCCTGACGCCGGAAGGCCGACCGCTGTCATCTGCATGGCAGGTGTCTGCATGGCAGTGGAGGATGCGTCGGGCTATATCGCATTTAGCTAACAATTCACGATAGTCAGATACCGTCCTCCATGGCGCAGTTGCATAAGCTGCGGGCTAGTTGGCAAGAGCCACTAGCAGTCATGGGTTCGATCCTCCGCAGAGGACCGAAGGATGCGCACCACTGATGAGCCCCAATAGGGCGAAACGGCCGTCTGGTGCTTTTCCGGATAGCTGGTCGACATATCTGAATTGTCGGATGATTGCGACGAACAAAAATACTCACCAAAATCCTTCCATTCATAAGTAATACCAATTCGCCCGTACGGATTCCACAAAATGCTATGTCGATTCATAGCTGCCGTAACCGGGAAGTCCTGACGCCGGAAGGCCGACCGCTGTCATCTGCATGGCAGGTGTCTGCATGGCAGTGGAGGATGCGTCGGGCTATATCGCATTTAGCTAACAATTCACGATAGTCAGATACCGTCCTCCATGGCGCAGTTGCATAAGCTGCGGGCTAGTTGGCAAGAGCCACTAGCAGTCATGGGTTCGATCCTCCGCAGAGGACCGAAGGATGCGCACCACTGATGAGCCCCAATAGGGCGAAACGGCCGTCTGGTGCTTTTCCGGATAGCTGGTCGACATATCTGAATTGTCGGATGATTGCGACGAACAAAAATACTCACCAAAATCCTTCCATTCATAAGTAATACCAATTCGCCCGTACGGATTCCACAAAATGCTATGTCGATTCATAGCTGCCGTAACCGGGAAGTCCTGACGCCGGAAGGCCGACCGCTGTCATCTGCATGGCAGGTGTCTGCATGGCAGTGGAGGATGCGTCGGGCTATATCGCATTTAGCTAACAATTCACGATAGTCAGATACCGTCCTCCATGGCGCAGTTGCATAAGCTGCGGGCTAGTTGGCAAGAGCCACTAGCAGTCATGGGTTCGATCCTCCGCAGAGGACCGAAGGATGCGCACCACTGATGAGCCCCAATAGGGCGAAACGGCCGTCTGGTGCTTTTCCGGATAGCTGGTCGACATATCTGAATTGTCGGATGATTGCGACGAACAAAAATACTCACCAAAATCCTTCCATTCATAAGTAATACCAATTCGCCCGTACGGATTCCACAAAATGCTATGTCGATTCATAGCTGCCGTAACCGGGAAGTCCTGACGCCGGAAGGCCGACCGCTGTCATCTGCATGGCAGGTGTCTGCATGGCAGTGGAGG